CACACTACTATGACCACTACTACCACTACTACTACTCACACTACTCACACTTCTACTACTACTACTCACACTCCTCCTCCTCCTCCTCCTCCTCCTCCTCCTCCTACTACTACTACTACTACTACTACTACTACTACTACTACTACTCACACGACTACGATTATTACTCTTTCATTTTAATCCAAGTGTAATCGAAAGTATGAAATGTGTATATATATACAAAGCTGGTAACTATTTACATGTTCCATATAACACATTCTATTAATCTTCAACACGTGAATATAAAATCAATTCAATGAATAACCCCATCGAATTTCAAGCTATTCAAAGTGATTTATTAGTTATCCGTCATTATTATTTGTCCCTTAGGTTCCTAGTGGAACAGTATCACGTCTCCAGTGCACTCTGTTCTCTGCAATCTTCTCAACCTACAGACACCAATGCCCACAACCTTCTCATTTCTTCCTCGCACACCATCTCCTCCATGTCACCCTCTCCTGGGATGTCCAACTCATCGTTTCCCATCTGGCTTCCACTCGAGTGCCTGGCCTGGTGCGTGATGTCCCCGAATGGTCTTCTCACAGTATGTCCAATCCATCTCCATGTCCACTTTTTTCTGGTACATATTTGTTCAGCGATAGATTCTTGGTTGATTCGTTGCCAGCCAGCCAGAGTGAGTTGCTTGTTGCTTATTCTTATTATTCTGGCCATCTGATCTTCAGTATCGAGTGAGCTAGAGTAGGTGTCAGCTGTTGACGAGTCTCTGTAGTTTGTTGGAAATGCTTTTCGTAACTCGCCAATCCTCTCAATCATCATATAGAAGCACTGACTTGACTGAAATTACTGTTGAAAATCTGGATGTTGTTCACGCTTTATGCTGAGTAGAGTGCTGAGTGGTCATTCATTGGTCAGATTAAAATTCAGTTAACATGCCTAATAGGTGTTTTCCACATTTACTAGTCAGTCTCATCAGCCGTATACCTCAACTAATTTATTTCGTGTAATTGAATGTTGACAGCCAATTGAATCTGATTATACGGAAGAAAGTGGAGGTGGATTGGGCATACATTGAAAAGGCCGATTGGGGACATCACGCGCCAGTCCAGGCCCTCAAGTGGGACCCTAAGGGGAAACGAGTTGGGTGTCCCACCTGAGGGTGACATGGAGGAGATCATATGAAAAAGAAATGAAGGATTATGAGCAGTCGTGGCGCCAGGTTCAAAAATTGCAGAGAGCAGAGTTTAATGGAGACGTGCTACTCAAGTCCTATGTTCCACTGGGAACCCAAGGGAGAAATAATCAATAGTAAATCTGACTTGAATGCAATGGTTGACTTCCACTGTCAACCCCGGGTGACAACACTATTAAATAGTTGTGAAATATTTAGCTGTGGACTATATAATTTGGTCATCATGATTAAAGTATCCTAGCCCCTTTGAATCGTTTACGGAGATTCATTTGGATTTCTCTGGGTACACGCTTGAAGAGAAAGCTCGAGTTAAACAGCCGTCTGATGTTCACATCACTTAGATCTGACTAGCAAAGCCTAGAGACCACTCTGAGTCGCCTCAAACTACTCGATAGCTGTTTCGTCCTGGTAAGGGAGTCTTCAGCAATAAGCATCCATGGCCCCCTCCCCAGGCATGAAACTCAGTGACTTTGGGTCCTGTGGTGAACTCCTATTGCTGAAGAGTCGACGAAACAGCTGTCCAATCCTCGAAGGTTTTCACTGCTCCTTCGACTGACATCACTATGTAGCGGCAATAACTTGAAATGAATAAAATCCCATAAATCCCAAACTAAATACCATCTTTTCTCATTGATGAAATCCTGCTGAATAATATCAACAATATAAGTGTTGTGTCTGTGAGTACACATCAAAGCTAAAGGTTTCGTTTGTCATCCGTGTCGACAACGATCTCGTCCCGACTGCTGTGGTCGACACCACTAAGATATAGATGATTACTTGAAACCTCAAATGGACAACCACTCTCCATTGCATTAAAAAAAGTGCCAACAAAATAATTTTACTGCGTCAGCGCCCAATTGGGATGAAACTTTATGCATCTCATGAGTGTTAAGTAGGACGAAACACGTGTCTTAGATTCCACTACTAACCACCATTCATCCTTTCTATAGAAACAGAAAGAAAATAACTGACTTACATTGTTACGCAATGGATAAATTCAGGCGGGATAAGCAGTTTTAATTGTGCAGAACCATGGAAACTGTGAGAACACTCTACATCTGTTTTCCCCAAGGCTTCCTGAAACCCTTATGTGAGTTCATGATACGTCCTTCTAACCAACAGTTATGCATCGATTATATTAGACAATGGCTACCTTACATCATAGATCTCAGCTTGACCTTTGGCGTGCTCTGCTGGAGAGTTCCACACTGGGACGAAACAACTGTCCAATGCTTCAAGGTTCCTAGTGGTTCCTCAATTAACCTCAACCTACGATAAAATATCACTGTGAAATCAACACAAACCTTTACAACTGAATCAAATTTATCCAGGCACATTACGTGAAAAGAGATACGCACGTAGTAGTAGTAGTAGTAGTAGTAGTAGTAGTAGTAGTAGTAGTAGTAGTAGTAGTAGTAGTAGTAGTAGTAGTAGTAGTAGTAGTAATAGTGGTAGTAAAGCCACGTGTTGTCAGGTTCATTTTCTCTTCTCTACTCTTTCTTTGTCTTTTATCCTTTTTTTCTGACCTAAAATTTTTTCTAATCACTTTGACCTGAAACACTTTTTCATAGAATGATTGATTGAAAACTGAAGTGACCAAGAGAATAATGATCATAAATATACGGACAATATTTTACATGATGTGACTGTTCTCCATCAGATCTGATACTTCACTGAACTGTGAAAATCAGAAAACAAACATTATTTACACATACTACAGTTTTCATCAACATATAGGTCATAAATTAATTCGCTTATTCTGATTGGTCAATTGTAGGATAAAATTATCCAATCAGGGTTTTTCCTGACCACACAGTGAAATGAAATAAAAGTTGAAATTCTGCCTCATATGCTGATGACTTAAAATGTTGACTTTCATTTAGGTCGTTTTCTATTAGCTTTCAACTTCTAATGATTTACAATTTAGGCACGTCATCAGAAAGGGATTCTTAGGATGCTATTGGCTAGAAGTCCTGGTAACTAGGATTCAGTGTGCACCACTGGATTTTTGTTTAATTCAGTCGGGGAGGCATTGAACGGCTCACACTTATAGCCATCTTAAGCAAAATGGAACCCCGAATACATTAAGTTCCAGAGGGATCAGCGAACCAGGATAGCTGACGGTTTTTCTACTTTTAAATCACGAAGAGAGATTTAAACGACGAGAACTCAACTGACGTTTAGTTGTATGATAACATGTTAGCGCGGACACCTGAAGGCTCATCAGTTCGATTCCCTCCAGGGGCGTAGGTGAATAATACTGAAGAGTTTTAAAGGAGAGAGTAAATATCTATCGAATAACTCTCAACATACATATCTATGGAGGTCAATCACCAATTGAAAGTAGCCAATCACATCACAGATCACTAGTTGGATCATTTATGCCATTCGTGGGCGAAATGTGTGCAGAGAAGAAACTCTTCTTTAAAAGTTTCCCGTTTTGAATTGGGTATAAGCGAATTGTTGCCCAACAACTACTTACTGGCTTATGCATCAGATAGTGTTGGGTTTGAACCCACGATGAAGTAACGGAAAGTTGAGGCGGATCTCTGTGAAGCTTGGTGAAACCAGTATCGATTGGCTACCACCACAGTGATTGCGGGTTGGAAGAAGATTCCAGGAAGCGTGTTTCGTTCTATCTGGGTCTCGTCAGAAGGATATGGTTGTATCCGGAGCTCGGCCCCAATTGCTTCAAACAATCTCCATTGCCAGTAACTGATTCATATGATATAGGATACTGAACAGGATTTACAACAGAAGTCGAATCAATCGCCTTGAAACTGTTGCACGAGCTTAGGCATTCGGCTGACTACACACCAGTCCGATCGTATAAGCAACCACCATCCGCATATTTCAACATACTGGATGAATCTACGAACGATGTCTTTGGATGTCACAAAAATTCCACTGAAGCCAAAATCATTCACTGTAAACACTTCAGCAAGCCAAGATGAGTCAGATGAGAGCGAAACAAAACTATAAACAACTATACTAAGATCCTCATATACTTTATGATGTTTGACTTCAAGCCCAATGGATAAAATACTGAGTCAACAGTCTATAACCCATAGGTTCGAACCCACTCACGAGTGTAGATCTTCCTAATGAACCAAAGAAGTATAAATGAAGAACCTGATGATTATGATAGATAGTAGTTGGTAGTAGATATTTAAACCTATTCAAGACTCATCAATTGAATATACTTGCATCTTAATGAGTAATGATGTTGCTACTTGAACTCGAACCCATGACCAATCACTTCAAACATCTATTGTATTCATATTCAGCTGACGAGTCTAAACTATGACGAAACAAATATCCTAAAATTTATCATTTTACCATCAAACTGAAACTAATAACCAGTATTCGGTTCAATCAACTATAAAAAAAGTATAAGCAATAATATAAATTGACTGAAAGTGAAGAATGAACATAAATGATGTAATCACATCGATACAGTAATTCTCTGATGATGAAAATTTTTACGCCTACATTTAAACTAAGACAAAAAACAACAACTTCAACTAAGTTACTTTTTCTTTCAATGAAGACATAACCCGAAGGAAGACAAAATAAAATTAACCAATAGGATGAAAGTATTTAACGCAGTCTAATGTAAAGCTTTGATTTCTTATTGGTTAAAATATTATCTAAAAGTTGATTGGTTAAATTAAAATGATTACCTTCATACATTTATTCATAATACACAAATCATCATTATATTTAGTGAAAAAATAATTTTCATAAAAATCATTTTATATATATGTAATTTAGATTATTTAAAGGGGAAAAATTAGAATATTGGATAGAAATGGATTATGGTCTTTCAACATTAATTAATCATAAGAATTCTGTGTATATGCATAATCCTAATCATTCAAATAATCCCTCATCAATGTATCCATTGTCAGGCCCCTTCTTTCATCATAATCCTAATGATAATAATAATAATAATAATAATAATAATAATGATAATAATAATAACAATAATAACGGTAATGATAACAGATGTGATACACGCGCATTTAATGAACAATCAACAACAGAACAAGTAAATTTACAAATAACTCATTCAAATAGTATTTCGTCCAATTCTTATCCTCCTCTTCAACAAAAATATTCCAATGAAGGTATCTATAGATTACCAATAAAACATTCAGTTATAAATAATTCAATATATCGATCAGAATATAATAAAATAAGAAAATGTGATTTCAACTCATCATTACCATATGATTTACGTGTTGAAGAAGGTGGAGATAGAGGTGAAATCGATAGAACTCTACTTGATCATAATATTGATTTAAAGTGTAAAGAAGATGCTGATGATGATGATGATGATACACAGTTAACACGAAAAACATCGATAAAAATCAATAATTTCAATTTATCCACAAATTTATCACAATTAAATGATAATCTATGGGAACAAGAGTTTATTTGTCAACCACAAAATATATCAAATAATCAATATCCTTTTAATTATATAAATAATACTACAAATTATTATTATGATCAATATTTATGTAATCCAACTTTATATTATCCTTATAATTCGAATAGAATGTATACTTCATCAATATTTTCATCATATCCATCATCAATTATACCTTCTATTGGATTGAATACTAATCAATATCCTTTTGAACATGTTCATGATCCATATATTCAAGAAAATCAACAATATAGACAATCAGATATAAAATTATCCAATCGTTTATCATCATTCATTGTTACATCACAAACATCTCCATTATTGAATAATTCACTGATTTCATCATATATCAATTCAAATCGATTTTTTAATGATACACTATCTATCTCAACTACTACAACAACAACAACAACAACAAGTACCATTACTACTACTAATAGTAATGATAATAATGATACTAAAAAATGTAATAAAAAGGCTATGGTAATGATTTCTCCAACCATAACATCTACTACTGATAATAAAGATATAAGTAGTAATATTGGGAATAATAATTTGAAAAGAAAATCAATAGATGATTCATTTCAGCAAGATACAATCAATCATCATAATAATAATAGTAGTAATAATCATAAACAACATATAATTGATGGGAAATATGAAAATGGTAAGTTATTGATTTACTTTAAATACACATACCGCTTCAATAGCACATCTCTATTTCACTCTCTTCTGTGTGATCTTTGCAATCTGAATCTACGACAGCCCAAAAGCTTTTATTTCTTCCTCACAGGCCATCTCCTCCATGTCACTGTCGTTTCTTCTTTCGATTCCATTTGAGATCCTGATGCATAATATCTTCGAATAGCTTTCTTAGTGTATGCTTAATCCATCTGCACTTTCTTTGGTGTATTTGTTGGGTGATAGGTTGTTGGTTCATTCATTCCCACAGTTCCTCCATGCTTATTCATTCTGGCCATCTGATTTTGGTTTCGAGCGTAGACGGTAGCTGTTGATGAATATATGTGTAGTTTGTTGGAAATTCTTTTCGTAACGCGCCAAGTCTCTCAACCATCATATTGAAGCATTGACTCATTCATTCGGATGTTGTTCACGCTTTATGCTGAGTGCAGTGTAGAAGATCTCTACACTGGTTTCAGATTAACGAAAGCCTATCTTGCTGTCTTTCCGATCCTGGCTGCCTTGACATCCTCATCTGTGCCACCTGTAGTTGAAACGATGCTTTCTAGATAGGTGAAAGAGGCTACTTTCTTTAACTTTCTCCCGTTGATGATGATTCGAGCTTGTTGTTGTTGCTGGTGGTGTTGGTTGGGTATCTTCATCACCTCTGTCTTTCCTATATTCACTTGAAGTCCCGTCTTCGCTGCCTAGCCTCTTCTGTTAACTTATTGGATGTTTCACTTTGTGAAATCGGTGAAATCCAAATCTTCTTTGGGGATATTTTCATTGGTGCAGAAAGCATATGCCCATCTTCTCACTCCTCACGGTTTGCTGTATGATCCGGTGATGATAGTAGGCGGCAAGCTTGTCTTACTGTTATCTTCACTTCACTTCAAAGGCATCACTGAGCTTTCCATTGTGAATCCCTTGACATGCGGTGTCTTCATATAGATGTTTAATAAGGTTTGTTGTACTAAAACCATAGTATTGAAGCAGTTTCCAAATCTACTTCATAGAACATCAAGGAATTTTTTCTAGCCTACTGTCCTGTTCTTCTTCACAATTGAAGGCAAATGATGAATGTTATACTGTGTTAAATCTTTTCAATAGTTCGTAGTGATCCATATTCTGATGAATTACAGTGAATGTTTCATCCATGTATACGTAATAAAGATCTAAATTGTTGATGACATTGTTTACTGATTCATTCTATAGGCTAAACAAGAAAGAAACGTCTTTAAGGATTAGGTTTTTGCCTGTAGATCTTCAAGTTTATGTGACATCAGGCACAAGTCACTGTTGGCGAAATCCAAGTCTTCTAGGTTCTTTTTCGCAGTCCAGCCAGCATATCCCCCTCTTCTCACAGCTCCCCACTGTTTGCTGCATGATCCAGTCCACCACAATAAGGAATATCATGGGGGATAGTAGGCAGCCTTGTTTCACTCCTGTCTTCACTTCACTTCAAAAGCATCACTGAGCTTCCCATTGTGAATTACTTGGCCGGCATGTGGTATCTTCATATAGTTGTTGAATGAGGCGGATAAAGGTTTGCGGTACTCCGTAGTAGTGAAGCAGTTTCCAAATTACTTGTCGATCGACGCTGTCAAAGGCCTTCTCAAAGTCGATGAAGTTGAGGTAGAGAGCTGATTGCCATTCTATGCTCTGTTCTATGATGATGCGAAGTGTTGCAATTTGGTCTGCACATGATTTGTACTTCCTGAAGCCTGCCTGATAACATGAATTATTGAACATAAATTGTCTTTCCAATATATATCTAAGATGTAATTCCTTAAGGAAATACTCAAGAAATCCAATGTTGCCTTCTTCCACTATCAATACTATTTCAGTCACTGGTATATTAGTGAATAATGATGATGTATCTAAGGGTTCCGACTTTCATATTTGTTGTTTGAGGATAGAAGACTATGAAGCTAAAATAATCCTTACCCAGTAGATTCCTATGCTTATCCAATCTCCTTCCAACCGAGTCAATTAATGATACGTATACCACTTCTTCTGGGAGTCGATTCTAGGAGATGACGCGTGAACCAGTACTCTGTGGAGACTATGCTCGTTCTTCATAGGTGTCTCAATCTAGTGGGAAGGAAAGGAAAAGATAGATCATGTCCAAAATCATTTCTTAGCATGATTAGATCTCCCATCTATCTGCGATAGAATAAAGAGAAGAGGTTCAGCTCCTTAAGTCAACCTTCACAGGTCAAACAAGCTATCGCAGAGACCATACGAGTGGCCGCCCTCTTTCCAGAAAGTCAGCCTCATCATTCAAACAAAGATTTACCGCTTATGAACAGCTTTCTAGTTAACACGTGATTAAGGATGTGTATAAGACGGTAAATACATTGCCACTTTATTTTGTAAACGTTCTGTTTAATGCTCAGTGTCCTAAAACTCTGAGCTGATACCAATCGACAATGTCCAGTGGTTTTCAAATTATAACTCACTGTGACTTCTAGGTGATTGTGGGTCTGTGTTCATAGGCATCAGTCACCTCTCTGACCAGGTGAAAAAGCGGTTTATGTCTGCCTGAAGTACACGTATATCCTCATCATTCCTAATTTCCTGCCAGATTTTTACATCATCAGTGCAGAGAACCACTAAGGATTTCCCAATATTTGGAGGCTTATTTAGGTATGGGAAAAATACCAGGGGACCCAGTACTGTGTCTTGCGACACTCCACTCTCTACCGATTTCCAAGAGGAGAGTTAAGAATTGATCCTTAATTTTTGTCTCCTACCACCGGATAACTCTCTCACCCATACAAGCAGACTGCGAGTGATTCCAAACCTTCCCAGCTTCCCCACCAACCTAGAATGAGGTACCTTGTTGAATACCTTGCTAAAACCTATGAAAATGATATCTGCAGGTATCCTATCATCTTTAGACATTAAACTCAACTTTCTCTGACTGTAAGCAGGTTCGTCAAGGAAGAGGAATTTCTGCGAAAGCCATGATGTGAACGAGACAATGGAGTGTTGCTCTGTAAGTGAACTGTGATGACTTTCTTGATTCCTTTTTCCAGAATATTTAACACAGTACTAGTCAAATTTATTGGTCTGTAATTTGATGGGTGTTGCCTGTAACCTGCCTTGAAGATAGACAATCGGATATCACGGCGGCGCCACACATGGCGTAAGTTGGCAAAAGCCGGAAGGGCCTATTGTACCCGTGAAGAGATCTCATCAGCCACTGACTAACACATCAGGGCTGATCCCACTTCCCAGGTAAGTGGTCAACATACTCGACCAGTACACTCTCTATTGTTAGCCGCGGTCGGGCAAAGTTGAAGACCAATCCTGGAGCAACAGTTTGCATTTCGGTGGTGAGAAACGCATCCCAAACATTCTCAAAGTGTCCAAAAGATTCTGCATCTTGTCAGCATCGTCTTCACTTAACAAGACTATGTCATCTGCATATTCTAGGTCTAACGAAAACTCTCCTGCAATTAAGTCAACGTCTGTGTAAGCAGATGACAAGAGGGAGACCTCCTTAAGAATATCTATGATAAAATTGAATAAGAATGGAGATAGTGGGCAGCCTTGATGGACACCACTCGATGAGCATAGCTCTCTGGACATCCCACCATAGGTTCGAACACGTCCACAAGTGTCCGAGTAGAGAGCCGTGATATGTTGATGTAGTTACTCGGCATGCCTTTCAATGAGAGACATTGGAATAAGACTTCTTGGTCAACGGAGTCGAATGCCGCCTTCAAGTAGAGAAATACAACTGATGTCGGGCGTCTGTAAGTGTGCCTATGTTCCTGGATCTGGCGCAGTGTGAATATTTGGTCGATACACCCGCGGCTGCCTGTCTGATTTTTTTGGGCTCGTTATTGCCCAGCTGTACTCAGGCTTTGAAGATTAATGGTTTTATCGTTGAGAAGGGAATTAATTTGTCTATATAATTGCTCTTGTCTAACAATACTATATCTCCTCCCTTGTCTAGTCTACTCATAACTAGTCTTAAAAAGGTTCTCGATATTACTATTTTTGTATGGTTGTTTACTATCGATTAACGTGGTTTTGAACCTGATCAATTCATTATCTGAATTTGTGACCAAGCCAGATGTTTACGAAAACAAGCTTTCAAAATGTATGCTACTATCAAGTACACAAATTTTCTGTGTATGATCACTGACTACCTTAAATGCAATATGATCCCTATGCAGTTTCAGAGTGCCAACCCCCCCCCCCCCATATTGTGAAAATTATTGGAACAGAGAGAACTGTAGGGCAACACACTCGACCGTTACTACGTAATCAGTTATCATACCAGGGTTACAGACACCATAACTTGGCAAAGGCTAATCAACCTGTTTTATGTTTAACCAAGAAGGGGGGGGCGTATTTTCATTTAAAGTCGACTGAAACACATCACCCCACAACTATATCTGTTGTCAAGTCAACTAAACTGATTACGTAACTCTTAGAAATAAATTTTGAAATGTATATTATGTAATCTACTCTATGGTTCCATTCCCTTTTCTCCTCATTTTGTCTGGTTACTATTACCATCATTGAATCAATATGCATCCCCCCCCCTTCATACACATACACATACTCTCTGGTGCATCAACAAGTGTACATAAGTAATCAATACAAGTTATTGATCATTTAGACACGCTTAGGGAGAGTTGATTTTCACTCACATTTTCACACGAAAAAAAACAAAATCCATTGATTAGTTACCAAATGAAAACTGTAGCTTGAGTACTCTTTATTGATTTATTTAGTCTTGGAAAATAAAAGAAATCTCAGTAACTATGTTGGTTACTATTAACACCATAAAAAAGGCGCTTAGAATGACATGGAAACATATTTGAATAGATAAAATGTACCCCAGTCACTGACGCGTTATTGTTTTTTTTGGACTTTTAACAGTTTAGGTATTGGCAACTATAACCTGTCAAATTACATTCTCCTTTTGGTTTTATTATACAATGGTGATATCATTCTCCTAGAGAA